TTTCTTTCTCCTCCTTTTCTTTTTTTTCTCGTTTGTCTCGCTCATCTTTTTCTTTTTTCTCTCGTTTTTCTCTTTCTCGCTCCTCCTTAAGCTTGCGAGCCTCTTCTTTCTTTTTCTCCTTTGCAGCTTTAGCTTCTTCCTTCTGGCGCTCTTTCTCCTGTTGCTGTCGAAGCCTGTCCTCTTGTTCTTGTAAACTCTACAAGTGCAAAAGTTCCATCAGATGAGGAAAAAAAAGTGAATTAACAAATAAGGCTGTGACACATTGGATTAAAACCAACAACTATGAAATTTCAAACACAATCAAACCCCTGTTTGTAGTGTATCCATTAAAAGTCCCACCTTCAATGAGCGTCTTTTGATCTTTTTCTGTTCTGCTGGTATCTTGGGGGTGGTCTTTGGCTCCTGTGATGATAAGGGAAAAACAAAACAATGATAATTATTGTCTGAATGTGTTTGACACAATGTCATCCAGTCTAGTCAGTTTTATTTGCGTGATTAATATCTGGAAGAATGATTGCAATAACATTGATTGCTCTATTTTGACTGCGTTAAAGGTCCAGTGTGCAACATTTATTTGCATAAATGGATTATAATAATAATCATAGATGTTTTCATTAGTGTCTAATCACTGGAAAATAAGAATTGTGTTTGTTCCCTTAGAATGAGACGTTTTTATTTACAGAGAGAGCGGGTCCTCTTCTACGGAGACCACCATGTTTCTACAGTAGCCCAGAATGGACAAACCAAACAAACAGGGCCTTTCACGTTTTTTGTGTCACAGCCACCGTAGTTTCTCTTATATGCTTGAAACTGGAGAGTGAGGCGAGTTGATTGCAATCTGCAGCTTCACTACTATATGCCACTGAATCATACACACTGGTCCTTTAATACTGTGAGGATGTTTGCAAGTGTTTTAAGATCTATTGTAGATATTAACAAACAAGAACATTTGTAAACCCAAAGCACTAATATCCAATGGCTATTTATTCATCTTAACGGAGTAATACTCTATATAGTTACTATGAGTAAATAGCCATTAGATATTAGAGCTTTTTTAAAATCACTACCCTCTTGAGAGCCTCAGATTTCTTCAACAAATCTCAATAAGTAGCATCCCCAAACTAAATGTCACCCACCATAGGGACCCCTTTTTTCACACCTAAAGCAGCACTTCCTGCACTTTGTTGTGTGTTACTCAAAACACTAAGTGCTACTACACACCACTAAGTGGGATTAAATAAACCGTAAACTGTGAGATGAACATACTGTAGGTGTTGTAGAGAGTGTAGGGTCATCAGTCTTCTCAGGTGAGCTTTCAGACGAGGAGCTCACTGATGAAGTTGACAGCATGGACCGGTTTCCTAAACTGGAAACGTTTCCTGACTCATTCTGCTCCTCTGGCTCACTTTCAGAATCCTGTGTTGTGTCAAGCAGCGAGATAGAAGCAGTCTGATTCCCATCTTGTTCCTCCTCCTCTTCTTCCTCCTCCTCCTCCTCTTCCTCTTCCACTTCATCTTTGTTGACTACTGTGCAGTCTAAAGTGTGTGTTTTAGGAGTGTGATCAGCACTATTGGATTTCCCAGAAGAGGCAGTTGTGTCTTTTCCCTTATGCTTGTCCTTTGTTGGGAGGCAGGGAGAGGCAGGAGCAGGTGAATCAAGGCGCTTTACAGGTGAACTGTTGTCCGCGGTCAGATCTATTACCATGTTCTCATCTGAGGATGAAGGGCGCCTGCGGCTCAGGAAGCCATCAAGGGGCCCACGACCGTTAACCAAGGGTGGCCCGGTGTGCACAGGGAGCGCAGAGGACTCATTCTCCCTGTCTGAGACTCCTGGTTCAGGGCAGGCATGTCCACAGGGGCGTTTAGGTGGCTGGTTGTCTTTAGGTTCAGGGTTCAGGCGCTTGAATGGGAGACGAGCTGCAGGCAGAATTTAATTTAAAAAAACAAAACTTGAGTCATTGAGCAGTTGTGCTGTATCTCTCTGCATAATGAAGAACAGATAAAGGGGCAAAGTTGTTCATCAAAATACAGCCTCAAAAATGTGGTGAGATTTAAAAAAGTTATAAATCTTTGGAAAAGTTTGTGTGTTAATTGATAGATTATATACAAAGTGATGTCAATGACAACAGAGATTTAAGGGGTTTAACAATCCCAGGTCTAATTACTGTAGAGGACAACTAAAGCCATATAGTTGAATTTTAACTTGTGAAGCTCTAATGTGTATTAGTAGGGTTAACAGTTTCACAATATGAGTTTATGCTACTATGTAAATATAATCAAGACAAAAGAAGCAACACATAAAAAGGTGCAAAAACCATTTACAGACATTGTAAAGTATGGTAAGACATGCATAGTATAATAATCCATCCTCCATGCCAAGTTATTATTAATTGTATCTTATGTATGATTCTGATAACGATAATATTTTAATAGTGTCCAATGTAAAAACGTTTTTTACCTTGGATAAGTTTCTTGTTGGCATTGTTCCTTGACTTACAATCCATGCCTGAAAAGAACAAAAACAGGCACATCAGAAAATAATACTTTAAGCACTTCAACATCCCTTCAAAATATTCAGACTGGAAATAATGAACTGGCACTGAAGATCAATCAATGACTTGAACTGGAAGCTTTTTGTAGCAGGTGAAAACACAATGCTGATTTAAAATGACATCCACTGCACATAAAGCTTTCAAGATATAACTTATTTGCGTGACTGTATTTAAAAAAAACAACAACCTGGAGACGGATAACACACTTACACAACAACTCCACGCAATAACTTCATTGTTAAGACTCCGCTTGCAGCAATAAGATTAGTTTACTACTGTAATGACCACAAGCACTGTGGGTCTTCAAATCCTAATCACCCTGTATTAATGTGAAAAGTCTATCCAGTAACAAAAACACCCCCGAGTGTATTATTCGTCAAGGAGGAGCATTAAATGTCACAACGTCGGTGTGCTAACACTACAACGTTACAATGCATGTGTTGGTTGTGTTTGGTTTGCTCTCCCGCCAACCGGTGTATCAGTGGGTGCTGAAGGCCCGGTCTAGTCCGCAGGGCAGGCACCTTACACGGCTGTCAGGCAAAGGATGCATGCCCGAGCACAATACTGAAAACCTCGACACTAGTGAGGACTGCTGCACATAACGCCGACTTACTACAGTCACAATAAGCTTGTGTGTGTGTGTGTGTGTGTTAAAGAGCGGATACAGTGGAGCTGCTCTGGAGATTCACGTATGAAAACAGCTTTCATGTGAGGCGCTAACGTTAACAAACTCACTGATGCTACAACGACTAGCTGCTCTGCTAAGCACCTCGGGTTGAGCTAAGACTTAGCAAAGCGACGGTAACAGAGGAAGCCGTGCAGCCGAGTGGACCCAGTCGTCTGCCGAGGTGAACATACTGGTAGTTTCTAACGTTAACTTACTTTAACACAACGTTATTGTTTCTCACCTGACGTTAAACTGAATTAGACTTTAGGTAACATGATAACATTAGCAATGCCGGGCTGTTAGCCGTAGACAGCTAGCTTCAATGAAAAGTTAGCGGCAGATTTTCATATTAAATCAGTTTACGTTTGCCTGTAACAATGACAACAGCTAACGTAAACTGGTGCCAATGGGGGGAACGTGGTTGCTAGGGTTAAATAGTCACCTTAACGTGAAGCTACACATATTTATCTGACGTTTTTCCTCATTTGGTGGACGCGAATTTGTAAATGTTAGACGAAACTGACGTTGCACTCCGTCCGTATTATAAAAGTAGACATTTTACCAAGTTAATATAACCATACATGTACGTTGGTAGACGTGGCATTAGCATTACCTCTTCTGCGGGGAGTCGATGCTGCCAAATGTCCGTCCACAGAAGGATTTTCCGCCGCCAACATCGCAACCACTAACCCGGGGCTCCTCTCGTTTGCGATATCCTCCGGAAAAACAACGGCACAGATTGCGTAAACACCCGAGAATGCCCCCGAAAACGAACCAAATGTTGTACTGCTATTGAAACGACATGTATTTCTAATTTATTTCACATAAAACATAACATATTCTCTTTCCGCATCTCCACAAACTCCCTTGGTTTACCCCGCTGCCTGCCTCGCGCTCCTCAGTCGGAATTGGCGGGAGTATGTCACTTGCGTCAGTGACCGTCGCTGATTGGTCCAAACCACGTTACTGATCACCGGTGGGAGCGTTGGTTTTTAACAAGGGCGCTGCGCGTTTACTCGGTGCTTCGTGTAGTAATGAAGCGCTCTCTGGGGCGTTAGAAGCACTAGAGTTTTAAATGTTGTGTGATACTTAAAATTGTTCCTCAGAAATACGAAATTATGGGAGCTAATTTAATTCAGTGGACTAAATCTGTTACGCTTTTTAAAAAAATGAACATAGTATCCACCCCGTTCGGGACGCCCTGTGTTATAAACCGGAATATGTCAGCTGTATCGTCTGTCTGATGTTTTGGGCTCTGTGATTGGCCGCGGACATTGACTTTAACAAGTCAGGGTTGCCATCTATGGTTGCCATGTTGGTAGTAAAATGAAAGAAAGGAGTTAGGGAAAGAAGTCCAATGTGCCCGGTGCTCTCTGGATGACAATTACTCAACAATAGTTATCATAAATTAAGCACATAATTTAATATTCCCAATACACTCATTAGTGACATATTCCAATATTGCGTTTACACATATTTAAATACTAACGTTAAAACACGGTTTGTCACTCTCTCCAGCCACAGTTGTGTTGTTATCAGTGAGAAAGTTATCAAATTATGATTATCATCAACAAGAGTCACTCAAGAGACTCCGCTACAAATGAATAATGTCTTCTTTTAACTCTTTACAGACTGGGGGACGTAACGTTAACCCCGCCTGTAATTGCATGGGTGGGATCCAAACGAAAGGGAGTCATGGAGGAGTCATGCGTTTTCCGTTTACCGCTCGCATGAATTCTGGGACTTGTAGTTCTTTAGGCTCCGGAGCTTGTGGGATGCAAACAGTTCGGAACTACAAGTGCTACGGTGGTGCGCAGCCGCAGTATGTCCGATAGGGTCGAAAAGGCGCATCCTGAATGATTCCGGACCCCTGCGTTTGTCGACGGATACGTAAGGACATAAACATTATCCCGGTAATGTTGATATTTCTATTGTACGCGTTACTTTGACTTGTTAGCTACAGCCGCCGTTTCACTCGTTGTCAACCGCCGACCGGTCAGTCAAATTAAGCGGCAGCTTTATTTGAAGAGAAACTAAGCAACACGCTTTAGCTGCTATCTACTGTATAATATAACACATAAAGTAAACACATTATAACTTCATACAGGCGCAGGTAAAGAGAAAACTGCAGAACTGCATGTGTTTGTATTAAAATTAGGCAGCGAAACACTTTGTCTAAAGTTGTGTAACTTACAGTCGGTAGAGCCACCGGTGTGATCCCCGTTAACTGTCTGAAGGTTAATATTAGCATGTAAATTGTGATCAGTGTTAGCAAGGCTCTTTAGTTGTGAAGCAAGTAAAACACAGGTAATAAGGGTTATTATAGTAAAAAGACATAAGACAATTGGTGAAAGGTTTCTTGTCTGGAATTGTGTTAATGTGAGTGTTAACTGTGTATTTCTATTTCTGTATATTTCTATTATCCAGGAAAGAATTGGGATTTCAAAATGGCAGGTCTGTCACTTTAAATAATCTCTTATCTCTCTATTTTCAGTATATATATATATATATTCTGTAAACTCAGATTAAATCTCTCTCCCTCTCTCTCTCTCTCACACACACTCTCTGTGTCTCTCTCTCTCCTCTGTCATGCATTCAAGCGTATTGTGAAATATTAAATTGTAAAAAGTAATATGGTCATACACTCTTTCCTTCCTGTTCCAGATCGAGTGAACAACTTTCCTCCCCTGCCTCAGTTTATGAGAATAAAGCCATGCTTCTACCAGAACATTGAAGAGGAAATCCCTGCACCGCACCAGCAGTTGGTGCGCAGAGTCTACACGCTATGGATGAGTGTGTGGTTTTTCTCACTTACATTTTCTAACTTTCTGTTTGGAAGTGAAGGATTCATTCTTCGCTCTGCTGTTGAGTTAAAACTCACTACCCTTTTCTCCCTTTCTCTTCCCCCCCACCTCCCCACTGTCCTGTTTCCTCTGCAGTGTATTCAAGCACACTGTGCATAAATGTGATCTCATGTATTGCTTGGTGGGCCGGTGGCGGAGGTGCCACCAACTTTGGCTTCTCCCTACTCTGGCTCATCCTCTTCAGCCCTTGCAGTTACATCTGCTGGTTCAGACCGCTCTACAAAGCCTTCAGGTTAGTCAGTGCATCACCCGGAGAGCCCCTGCAGACGTCACAGGTTAACGTATATCATCGCTTCACATGTAACAATACTCACAGAGAGAAACAGAATCCCGAACATACAGGTTGAAATGTTAATAAACCGACAGGATTGAGGTAACTGGTTATCAGTAGAAAGCAGTTGAAGTGAAAATACGAGGGGCCATAGCAGAGAAAAAAACTACGCGGGAAGTAGTCAGTCTATTTAAATTCTTGGGAGACAGATGGAGGTTTTGAAATTAGCCCTCACTTGACTTCAGGACAGATGGTTTATGATCAAACTTCTTAGATCTTGTAGAGATAATCTGTGAACTCTTGTTGCTCATGTGGGTGGGTGAGGGGAAAGTGTGTACAGTGTCGTACGTTATGTAAATGAGGCTGAACGTTTTTGTGATGTACTTGATGTGTGACCCGGTTGTTCACTGTATGACTGAGAAATTGTGTAGCCATCAAGATTTATGGAAAAATCCACGAACACTGGACCAACGAGCAGCATTTGTTTTTTCTGTCTTCAGATGTAGGAAATCACAAAGTTCCAGTGATGCCTCGACATATTCTGAGAAAAGAGACACGGCTTTACCAGTGATCTCTTTTCCTTATCATGCTGGGAAGTGTTAGTGTTAGTTTTCCATTGTGCTTTCATACTTTGAACAGAATTGTTGTGTGAAGTTGTGTTAAAAAGACGAGAACAAGTAGGAGGAAGAAACAATACAACTAAAATAGAGCAACTCTTGGCATGTTTGTTTTCTACTGTGTCATCCCTTTGTATTCTCTTCTTTTGTCATGTTGTTCATAGGGCCGATAGCTCGTTCAACTTCATGGCCTTCTTCTTCATCTTCTTCCTTCAGTGTGTTTTGGCCTTGATCCAGGCTATAGGCGTCCCTGGCTGGGGAACATGGTGAGTTGAACCAAACCAGCTTCGTAGGCTGCTGCACATGTTGCCTGCCAGTTTTTTACCAGAGCGGGTCATGAGGGCTCATGTGAAATGATCAAGGCAGCTGGAAAAATGTGCTTTCCATGAGACTTGCATTTGCACGTCTGTTCAAATTATGACTAAGATTGATTTAACACTAAAATAAAACCATGAAGCACATGATGAAGTTTACAGAATTGAGTAGTCGGACACCATCAGCGGCTTTTTACATTTTTACTTCTATTGGTTGCCGATTGAAGTTTGGTTGTGGGCTGCTGATGTGGTGCTCACTCCAACCATCAGCCTCTTGATGTTCAATGTAAATAGGGGTTCTAAGGTTTTGGTCATAACCTTATGACTAGATGACTAGAGGCATTCTTTATAGTTTTCATTTTGCAAAAAAGAAGGGCAAACCATTGTTTTTGCTAAAACTGAAAATGCTATTATTTTAGCACATGATTGAAAAGAAAGTTCACATTTTAAGAATGGCGTTTATCAGTTTTTTCAGTTGAACTCTTCACATATATCCCTTTCTCATGTAGAAGGAATTTCAATGTTAACACATGATTTTACAGTCAGAATGCCATTTTCAACGCATTTTTTTTAAGCAAATATTTTTCTTATTAATTATATATATTTTTTTAACAAACAATTTTCCTAAAACTGAGTAGTGTTTATGTCTAATAACTGAACATCCGCTTGACAATAACACTGTTCACTCATGATACATTGTGTCATGTAAAGTCAGTTTTACGCTGGTCGTCATTATGCTGTTTGTCACTGCATCTGTTTTCTCACTGCTTAATGGCTCATTAGTAACTTTGGATATTTGTATTAAATCCACTTTGCTAATTACATACTGTGTGATCCACTAACCGTACTACTGCATCTCACTCTCACCAACACCTCAAAGCGGCTGGATTGCGACAGTGACGTTTTTCAGCACAAATCTGGGCTCCGCTATAGTGATGCTTATCACAACTGTGCTCTTCACTCTGGTGACTGCTTTAATGGCTCTGGTTATCATTAAGGTGAGTGAATACGCACGTTGAAAAGGCACACGCACACACACACACACACACACACACACACACACACACACTTGCATTGAATTTTTGTCTTTCATGGATATTAACCCACACAGACACTTGAAAACAGGCACAAATAGAATCTGAACTTATTTTTGACCTTTTCTTTTGATGTGGCAGGTGCACAGATTTTATCGTGGCGGCGGCGGTAGTTTGGAGCGCGCTCAGGAAGAGTGGAGCACCGGGTTGTGGAAGAGTGCACCTGTAAGAGAAGCAGGGTTCAACGCTGTTGCTCAGACGGCCCAAGGGCCGAGCCTGCCCCAGTACCCTGCCGCAGTGCCGAGCTATCCCGACAACAGTCACTGGTGATAGCTGCGAGTCGCCTCTAGATGGAGACAGATAAATGGCCATTTCTGTGGTGGGAATGAAAGCACTTCAAAGCACCACAAACATTTCACATTAACATGACAAAATGCAGACGTATTTTTTTGAATGAGAAGACAGGATTTGCTATAAAAAGTCTTATGAGTTTTCTCACCAAAGCTCATTAAAGCCTGACCCTTGTAGTGGAGGCTTATCTTCAAAATATACTATTCCATTTCAACTTTGTTTACATATAGTTTATTAAAATGAATGAGAAGGAAATATAATTTTATGCTCAAAAGAAATTTGCTGAGGAAAGTGTACAATCTTGCATATATGCAGTTGGAAACTCCAAAAAGAGAGTGAATTGTTTCAGAATAGCAGTATGTGAGGGACGTGTGCCTTATGGACCTTTTATGATAGCATTGTTTTATGTAGTGCCAGACTCTGCATGCTAGAAGTCATAGTATGCTGTAGAATGGGGCTTTTCTTTCTTTTGCAACAAGACTGTCTGCAAACTGCACGATTTTTTTTATCTGTGTATTGCGTGTATTCTGGCAGGAGTTCAGTTTATTTTTGATACGTTGTGCTTTATATCTCCATGCTTGCCTGCTTTGGCTGTGATTTCTTGAAATTTGCCTTAATATTGCGTGCAGATTTAGCATGTGAACAATATCTTGCTTGACTTTCGCCTTAACAAGTGCTGCTTTTTTTCTCTCTTTTTTTTTTGTTAAACTGGACTTATGCTTCAGTGAAGCAACGTGTGGAACCATTTCAAAAAGTTGTCGGTGCGTCATCCCCCTCTATGATTTCTAACTGAGCACTGATGTGCCAAAACACTTGCCTTTTCCATTATTTTGAAACTGAACAAAAGCCACGCCCAAAGTAGATGTTGTTTTGCACTCAGTATTTCTCTGTTTCTGTAGCTCTAAAGCTACACTGTTTGCTTTTAGTGGTCAGTGCCCTGCCGTGAAAGCACCTTATCAGCTGTTGTCAATGTTCCAGTCACTTTCACTTCACCAGATAGACTGAATTTTTGTGTTTAGTGACTGCGGTGTGCTTGCATGAAGAATATCACGGGTGTGGGGACTGAACAGTAGTCTCTTTTTTTCAAATGAACTGACCTCATGTAATCAATACAGACACAAACAACTCACTTGCTGACTGAAAAAAAGATACTGCAAATGGATCTGCAGTAAAATGAAATCTTGCATGTAAATGGAGTCTGTTTAAAGGCAGTCTGATATTTCAATTAAATCCAATGAATGTG